GGAGAGAAGAGGAACACATTCTCCTTCTGCAAGCTGTAAATTTACAAATATTAAAACATGATAATTTTAAAGTGTGTCTGTGTATGTTTGCCAGTGTGTGGCTCAGTGATTTCCCTGAAACACTCACGCATACATCTCCCTTGAGAGCCAGAGACACAAAAGGTTCACTGAGCTACACACAGGGAGCTGCAGCCTTGCCGATTAATCTGCCAAAGGTTCATAAAGTTATAACTAGGATTTCTTTTTATTTTAAAGCGCTACAGCAACTCTCGGTTGCATATTGTAAAATAATCCTGAGCTGAACAGACATCTCCCAGACCCTGTTTGTATTAATTAAGTCCTGATATTGCGAGGGGGGGGGGGGGTGTTTGTCCCTGTGTCAGTCATGTTGGAACTCAGCAGGAATCTAAAACAAACCTGTGTTTGATTAGGTAAAGAGATAAGCTTCACTTTAAACAGGTAATATCTACGTCTCTTATATACAGACCCTCCTGCGTGCTCGCTCCATACAAACTGACAACACTGCAGGGAGTCGGCGTGTTTATGGTGCGGCGCTGCACTGCGAATGAACAATAAAGTCAAGTTATTCAATTTTCCACATGTTGTTTATGTGACTTTAAATCTTCCATAAGATGATTGAACAAGCCTTTTGGACATAAGCTGCCTCGTCTTGTACGGCCGAAAGAGGTAAAGCCATGACCCTGCCAGTCACAAGCGGTCTCAACTCCCACATCCTTTACCCGGAGCGGCCTTGATTGCATTCTGTGCAGGCTCACACAAATAATGGACTTCCAACAGCGTTATTAGGATTTGAAACACCACTTGATTGGGCATGATATCATTCTGGCACACAAACAGAGAGACTCTGCATCAAAAAAAACCAACAAGACCTGTGGGGCTTAGAGCTTGTGGAAGAGTTAGTTTGTCAGTGGGGAGGGCTAGACTCGAACACAAGCTGTGTCATCCAGCGCTGAGAAGAAACAGGGCTCTAAAGAACTTTGATGCACTTCTTTTTGTCTGAAGATGAAAGAGGACCTGACCTATTCCAAATGTATTCAAAATAGTTTCAGGACTTTTTCCTCAGGTTTTGGCCTTATAGAGACAGTATGTGGCGCTCCTTTGAGGTCCTGCACTGTTTCCAGTAATAAAAAAATAGTGTCACCGGTAACATAAGCAGTTGGAAAAATTAGTTTCAGCCGTTGTGTTCAAATTCAAACCTGCCTGTTTCTTTTGTTTTTTTTCCCCATCTCCCAGTGCTTACTGAGGTGTCTCCGCCTTGACAATTAGCACACCAGGCTAAAACAGACTGTAAATAATGTCCGATGCATGTGACAGTGTTGTTTTTCTGTCTGATATTCATTAATAAGGCAGAATGCTTGCTGGACTCTCAGAAGAGGTGGGGGAGTTGGTCCCAGAGGGAAAAGTTGTTCTTTCATGTAGGTCCCCACAGATTTTATCTCATTGTACGCTATCATGCACACAAACGACTTGAGGTAAACAGCTTGGTGTTACCATAGCAATCCCTATTGTAAGCAATGGCAAAAAAAGCAGCCGTGGACAGAAACCCTCAGCATAAATAATAGTTCAGACAGCTTCCATAAACCATCGAACCATAGCATGTTCCTGCTCACAGGAAGCCCGCAGTATTAAATGTGTCTTAAAGCACGCCCTACCTTTAAAAAGAAAACACTGAATATGTGCTTAAGCTGTCTGATAATTCAGTTAGAGGCCTGCTGGATGCTCGACCAGTAGCACTTAGTCGTCATACGCACACTCCATATTGTTAACAGAAAATCATACATAAATACTCACTGATGGAAAGAAACAACTGTGTCGGGGTCATTTCCTACAAGGAGCTTGAGATTGCAATGCAAAGGAAATCGGCAGTTAAAGCATGAAATACTGAACAGGGTAAACAGAAAAAAATGACTTCCACTGCAACACCCAAATGACCTCAATCTTCCTTTGGAGAGTATTTCTGAAGAAAAAATAACTTGAAAATTTATGTCTTCCACTTCCTAATAGTTTTTCAAGCTGATTTCTTTTCCGTTTTTTTTTTTCACAATTGCTGCTTCTAAAAGGTGACCCTTTCACCCCCCGCCTGCAATTGTCTAACACTAAATTGCACAGTAATGTGCCGCTGATATACGGGCCCCTCAAACCTACATAATTCCTGCAGCTATTGTTTCAGAGAGGAAGCCCGCAACGTAAATACAGTAACTGAGAAAGCATGTGTGGGGAGCACGGGGGGTGCATTGTCTGGCGACGGGGTGATCTGTAAGCCCCTTCAAATTGTATATCCTCTAATGAATCCACAGCTTTGCAAAAGAAAATGAAAACAGGATTTTATGTTTGCAGCCGATGTGATTTACATAACACTTGCAATGGCTCACACATGATTGTGCTTGGCTTTACGGCTGAGAGAAAATGAAAAGGCTCGTGCTCATTGTTAAATAAAGTGAATTGAGTCTTTAAGATAGAACTTTGTTACCTCTCATATCACACATTTTTTGTCTTTTAAGATGGTGTGTCCACAGCTCAGCAGAGTGTATTATCTTAACCACAGTGTGGCTGAGTTAAGATTCAATACAACTCCACGCAGGGAGAACTATCTCTGCTGTGGCATGCTGTTTTAAGTGTTTCCACAGACCTTCAACTGACAAAGCTTTACATACTACTGAAATAAAAACACAATACAAGTTAAAATGATCATCTGCTCTCTGGTAGTTATACTGCTTCTTCTTTCTTTTCTTTTTTTGATACGATGAATACTCACGGTCACCTCCTTCTCGCTTTTTAAAAGTTATTTACAACTTGATAACGATCTGGCCTTGATTTTGAGTCTGGAATATGCTGTTGGAAGGTGAACTTTGGTGGCTCTGGAAATGAAGTGAAAGGAACTAGAGTGCAGTTTCTGCCCTAAAAAGGCAGCTCTGGATATGGAATGCCACAGGCAGCTGTTCCTGCCTCATCAGAGGACATGTTATAAAGATAGCCCCACTTGGGTTGAAATAATGCCACCCATTGCTGCCCCAAAGCACACTCTATCATGCTCTATTGTTCAGAGAGGCCGCACTGGGGGGGAAATATGTTGAGACTGTGCCGTCTGTCTTGTTTCGTAAAGATATGTAAAACATGGTGACTACAACTTTTGTTTTTTTTTACTGTCTCGGCCAGATGAACAGTAAAAGACAGTAGAGGGTAGAAAGAGCTTGTATACATGAATTCATTTCCCTTTTAGTAAAGAAGATGTAAAACAAAAGTACAATTACAATACAGTTATTGGGTGTAAACCCGCTGAATAGCCAACGTGAGAACACAGATCCAAAAAGACCAAAAGCGCTCAGCATTTTCACTCCACATCCTGACAGCTTTAACGCTGTGCAGCCCCCCACTCAGTGGCAGGACCACAGCCTCTCGAGGTGAGAGTGAAGATAACATTTCACAGTGTCTCTATGGCGCTGTCATGTGAAGGATTATGTAGCCGTGTATTTGCTGCTTGTAGTACCGTAGGGGGTCCGATACCTATCTCCCTGTGGTTTCAGCTGCCTGGGATTTTTTTTTTCTCCTTTTTTTTTTTCATCACTGCTTTCAACTCTGAGCTGACCGAAGAGGTGTGACTTAGAAAGATATGTACAGTATCTCTGTGTGTCCTTCCAGGCTGTTATTGTTAAGTGCTTTTGGATGATATTAATAGCAGGAGTCACTGTTGTTCACTGTGGTTTTTCCATTGTGATGTTCAAAATCAGGACTAAGTTACTGACATGGAAAAGCTGGTTCAAACTTTGTTTCTGGTGCATTTAAAAGAAATTGCTAATTGAGTGAAAAGTTAAATTCCCTAAACCGTAACTCAGATAATTGTAATGCTGAACAACTTAAACTAATCTTTTGTTTTTTTGTTCTTGTTTCCGTTAGCTGAAAGGAGTTTATGCACTGAAACGACCTCAGGAAAATCCAAGATGGCCGCCAAAAGGAAAGGTGGCCTAAAACTCAATGCTATCTGTGCCAAGCTGAGCCGCCAGGTGGTGTACGACACCAGCTCCCAGAATGCAGAGGGAGACCAGAGTGTAGCAGAAAACAGCGAGCGTGGCAGTTCCCACTGCGATGACAATGAGACCAACTTCCCCGAGAGCCTGAACCTCAGTCAGAGTCTAGAGGAGGACCAGAAGAGACGCGAGGCCATCGAGAAGTGGGTGAACGGCGAGTATGGCGACGAGCCGCCGCCGCCTCCCGCCGACGAACACGAGCGTGAACTCAAAGTCGGCAATGACGAAGACGGCCCCCCTGAGGGCGTGTACATGGTACGCCCCACGGGCTGCAGCGATGACGAGGACAACGCGGAGGAGGCCGAGCCGGTGGCGGGCTCTCAGGATGGCAGTTACCATGATGGCAAAGAAGCTGAAGATAGGCCTTCAAAAGACAACACCTACATGCCGCCGCGAGAGGCCCAGAGTCGCCAAGCACCTTTCTCCTCTACAGGTACATTTTGACTCTCAATCAGTTAATGTCTCCGCCGTACTCCTAATTTATACTTGACCCTTTTTAGACTTCTTAAACCGACACAACCTTTGCCCTTCAAAGCATTCCACTCAATAGTATTAATGCTTAGATAGAGGGCGGGTGACATTGCCGCATCCGCATAAGCTTAAGTGTGCCCATTATTGGGAAGAGACACTCTAGAGTTACATTATGAATAGCCAGTGACATTATTACCCCCAAAGACAGATTCAACTGGCAGGCCAGCGGGGGGGAAACAGGAACTTGTCAGTGTGTGGTTTACTGCAAAAAGAAATTCATAAATGGAGTAGGCTTACAACGTAAGGCTGTTTATGCACTCTCCCAGCAGCTGTGGGCCAAGAGCGCATGGCAAGACCAGGCTAAGCTTCATATTACACCCAGGATTACATATTGAGTCTTTGATTTTCCCTAAGCTCACTAAACTTAGCCACCGCTTCAAACTCCTCTATTACATGGAATTGTAGTCAGCCGTAGAGGAGCTTGTTTTTTGTTTTTTTGTCAAATCCTAGAGATCAATTGTCAAATAAAGTCAGAAATAGGGAAATCATATCGCAGCGCGATATGACTCTTAAGTGAGAAATAGAGTGGCTCCATGTATTTATTGTGAGCAGACATGGACCTATTTTAATACATTCCTTTACAAAACGCTCCTGTAAATGACTCCTAATAACCCCTTTTTAATTGTGACATGATGTTCCCACGATATAATTCACTGATTATCAAATAGAAAAAACGGGCACAGGCAGCCATTCGGAAGCAACACAAGTATGTGTCAACAGCACAAACTATCATTTGAGAAAGTACCTCTCGTAGTGACACTTGAAGCTAGATGCATGCGCGCTATAGGAGCGTTAGGCCTTTGTATAGCAGCACAAACGCAGAGTTTTAAAAAAAAAAAAAAAAGGAGAAAAAACATGACTCGCTTATACAAGTATATAAAGCGTGTTTCACAGACACACAGAGGAAAAAAAAAAACTGCAATTTGCGAGTGAGACCGGTTGTTGCGGTACAAAAACAAGTTTTGTTTTGTGCTTGCTCACCTCACTTTAACAGTTTTTTGGCCTTTCATCTAGGTTTAGCTATCTACCTCAGAGTCATGTACACAGGCTCTTTTAGTCTGCATTTCTTTTGTTTTACAGCAGCAGCTCTGGCCACACAATGAATTGGGGGTAGGGGCTTCTCAGAAAATGAAGCAGGTTTCATTTCAGAGGCAAATGAAAAAAAAGGCTTTGTGGTTTTAATTAGTCATTTTGTGTTGATTTCGTGGCCATAAAAAAAAACCGCCTGTCTGTAAATATGTATTACTGTTGTGTAGCAGGCCTGCACCTTTCAATCCACTGGCTGCCTAACTACTTTACATCTCACAGCAAAGCCAGAGTGTTTGAAGACTGTGGGGAGAGCGTACTGCATCAGTTGCAAATCTTGTCTTTAGAGTGTTTTTTTCTTCTTCTCAGAGTTGCTCTTTGTTGATTGTAACTAGGGCATCTATATTGCCGTGTTTCTGCTCAGCTCACAATTAAAACATTTTTTTTTCCTCCTCTCTCTCTCTCTCTCTTGCCGCTGTCTTTCAAAGGCTGATGCGGAGTGCACATAATTATGCATATAAACATAGTGGCTTAATTATCTCTCACAACATCAGTGACAATGTAATTAACAAACATTGCAAGATCAATGAGAGAAACTGCGACCTTCAAAACATTTAACTCCTCACATTGAGGCATCGTGCAGATTTCCTATCAGTGCAAAACCCCAGAATACTTTTCCTAGATAATTTAGATGTCGCATTAGAGCCCTCATAAGCCAGTCGATGGGGAAAAAAAACAATGAATAAAAACTATGAAAGCAAAGACAGAGATGCTCATAGTGATGGATCAAACGGGCTTGACCGTGACTTCCATTTGCAATTCTGGGTTCACTGTAAAAGGTTATTGTTCATTTCAAGCCGTTTCAAAGCCCTCGCTATTTACTGCCTGTTAATTAACTAACCAAACAGAGAGGAAGTTTTGAAGCTCCGTGCACTTTTGTGTGTGTCAAATTAGTCCAAACAAATGTGCATAATGTCACTTATTCAAAGCAACTCTTTATTAGGCTACCACTGCTCATTTAAACAAAACACACTTAAACTAATTCACCGACATCAACACAATTTGCTTTTTTAAAACTCTATTTAAATTATTGCACCATCTAAAATAATCCCACTATGCAAAAGTTTCTCTGACTGAACTCCACTGAAAACACAGCATGTTATTCAAACTTTTTTTTTTAAACTAAATAGTTTACATTGTGCATGTGTGGTTCAAAACGGACAACCGTATTTAAACCCCAGATTAGTCCATATATAGCCACTAGCATGCACCTTTATCATCAGCGACACCTCTGCCTCTCAGTCCTGTGAGCAGAGAAGCTATGCCACACACTGATGGCCATGTTTGGTCAGCCAATAGGAGATATAATGCCCATCTGTTATCATATCTGCAGAGGGAAAATGTGTCCCAATAGCCTCAAATATAGACAGGCAGGTATGTGCTGCGTGTTGGCTTTTGCTGGCCTGAAGTGTCAAGATTAGAAACCACTTGTTTGTAGAGTTTCCAGTGACACCAGAGAAAGTGCAGAGGGAAATGTCTTTTCTGTTTCTTGATGGGTTGGGTGGTTAGCATGAGTGGAGAGGCCAATCTCACCTTAGTACACCCATACACAGTTTCCCACCTGGTGTCACATGGCATTATTTAAAAGGCAGCCGGATGGGGCTGGAGTAGAAACCTCATTTACATGGTGTTTTAGAAAGGTTATCTCCTGTCAGTTCCAGTCATAATCCTTTCAAGTCCAATCATTTGCCTTTCGTTGATAGCAGGCCACATGGCTCCGCTGATGAATAAAGAGACTTGGCTAATTTTTTTTTTAAGAGAAGGTGATGATAAAACCATAAGCAAATAGAATATGAAAAAAAAGAGGTGCCGGTGCTCCCATGACAGAAACCACTAGTCTGTCTGCAGTAATAAGCAATTGACAGAAATGATAGATGATTTATTTAATTTGAAACCTACTCCAAAGCAAGAGTCGACAGACATGAATATATTCCCAGTCAATGCAGAACCAGCCTTGACACTCTTTATATTAGCCTTCAAAATGATATAAAAAACATTTTTAAAATATGATTTCCATCTATTCTGCTTTGCTCTTTTCCCTCACTCAGTGAGTGTAGTTCCATTTTGTGACTTTTCTGATGTGGCTGCTGTCCTAACTTTAGAGCTATATGATATACTGTGACCTGAGGTACCCTTACAAATACAGTCGCAGTCAAACCCAACCGAGCACCGAGGTCATCAACACCGAAAATCAACTGAGGAGAATGTTTAGACAAATTACATTTTGACTGGTTCAAAATGTTCTTTTATGCCATGCATGATAATCAGTTAAATAAAAACAAAACCTTAAGTATAAAATGAGTTAATTTGCACTCTACCCTGCAGTAAATACTTATATATGCAATATACAATATTTGACTCTGTAGTTTCAGTTTAGATCTGTGAGGCATTTCCTCTCAAATATGTGATCCATTTCTGTTACATTTTCATGACCTTTCGATCCACTGGATACTCTTTCATACTGATCCACTGCGCAGAGGAGCAACCCCAACGCAGTCAATGGAAATTTGGGGATTATTTTACATGCTCCGCGGGAGATGTGAAAAGCAGGGCACGGAGACTGATTTAGCAATAACTGAGAAATCTGAGACAAGAGCAGAAATATTTATGTATTAATTACCCGGGTGGTAGGTGGTATTACTTCTCACCGGCTCATGTTTTGATGGTGATATGGTGTGATGTGAAAAAAAAATTTTTTAAAGGTTTTTGATCCTGGTCCTGTGCCAAGGATGAGTTAAGAAGGCCAAAGTTTTTACATGACCCAGGTGAAATTATCATCTGGTACATTACTACCATGTCAGTGTTCTGGCATCCTGCCTGACATGCAAACTGACACAACAGGAGAGTTATGGAATTGAGCTGGATCAGCAACAACACAACTGCCTCACGAATCCTCCCTCTCTATGTCTCTCTCACGTACCCTTTCCTCTCTTTGTGCTTCCGCTGCTTTCAGGAAAAATCATTTCCCCCCTTTCTCAGCTCTCTGACCCCTTGCACTAACCTGGATGAAAGTTAATGGGCCGGAATTAATCCCCACATAATGCAATTAAACTATACATTGACTATATTTCGCCTATGTCCTTGGGGAAGTTCTCCAATTTAATGGACTCTTAAAATGAAAGGGATGTTTCAGTTCACAAATGTGTAAAAAGGGGGAAAGGATTCATTCTTTTCACTCTTAAAGGTGACACAATAATCATGTTATTTTCAAATACCTTACGCCAAGCTTCGGGGATTAGGAATTGCACTTAGCATGCAGTCGCTTCCTGGAAGATAGCAGATATAATTATGTCACTTTCAAATCGTTCAGCATCAGTCATCACGTAAAAATCTGTGGTGAGGTGCGCCCGATGGTGTTACTTCATTTCTATGAAGTTGTATAAACAGTTTTCCCCCTATAGATTCCCCTACATGCTTCAGTCGCTAACGTGATCTCTTACTGGGTTACTAAGATTACCTGCTCTTACATGTACAATATTTACTTAATATGTTATTCAATTATATAATGTGAAAAGTGATTCCGTGATGAATTTTGATAGCATAACTTAATAAGAATAGAAGACCAGAAGAGGTTTGTTTATTCAGTGTGTCCTTTGGTACAGTCACTTGCAAATTGTGCAGGACTGACTTAGTGCAACCAAAACAGGAAGAGCATTGCCTCAGACTGCTTGTTTGTAGACACATGAATGCACAGAGATGTACAGGGTAGACGCTGCTCTAGAATCCCTTTTCCTGTTTTTAAATTGATTACAGTTGAGAAATAACAAGTATAGCCGTAAGACATCAATTGTAAGCAGTTAATGTTCAGAAACAGAGATAGACTCTCATGTAGTAGATTTAGATCTAGCGGTTTAGACGTCCTTTGTTATCATAATGCAGTGTGTTCACCACAATATGAGAGAGGGGTTGTTTCAATAATTGGGCTGACAAATTATATTTTCTGCAGATTACTTAATTCGTAACGTAGGCATTTGATGCCAAACAAAACAATAAATTGTTGAATATAGACTATCTTCTTCAGCTACACAGCATCACAATAGTGAAACACTTGTTGAGTGAGAATCAGTCAATGTCAAGTGGGAGAGCACCATTTGATGGACTGATTGACTGAAGTGAATTTGGCCACTGACTGATTGAAATGTTTTGAGCAACGTTGCTTGTAGCGGCTTTAAAAACGAGCTCACCACTCTACTCTTTCTCTGTGCAGGAGAAGCATCTGCCCTGCGAGACTATGCAGCCAACACCATGAATGAATTTTTGGGAATGTTCGGTTATGATGACCAGCAGGTAAGGGATGAGCTGACCAAGAAGATCAGCTTTGAGAAGCTCAAAGCCGCTACCTCAGACCCCTCATCCCTCAGCAGTGAGGAGGCCTCACGGCGTGCCCGCTTCTCAAAGTACGAAGAGTACATCCGTAAGCTAAAAGCCGGCGAGACCCTTCCTTGGCCCATGCATGCTTCCCCACCAAAACCAGACAACCTCAACCCAAAACTGGCCCAAGACAAGAGCGCTAGCATGCTCCAGACCTCTGGGTGCCTCCCAGGGGCCGAGGCACAGATCTATCCCGCCAGCCTGGACCACAAACAGCCGGGAGGACCTCAGCTGGGCACTTCTCAGCCACCGAATCCCTCTCACATCCAGAACATGGCGTCCCGAGCCTCCAAGTATGACTTCTTTATTCAGAAGCTGAAGATGGGTGAGAGTCTACAGCAGCAGAACGGTAACGCTTACAAGCGACCCTCCAAGTACGACCTCGAGAACGTCAAGTTTCTGCACCTCTTCAAGCCTGGTGAGGGCAACCCTGACATGGGCGGCTCCATAGCCTTCAAGACTTGCAAAGTGGGCCGCCCTTCGAAGTATGAAATCAGAACAATTCAGAAGCTGATGCCGGGAAATCCAGAGGCCTCAATGATGCCCAATGTCCTCGCTACAGCACCAGGGAACCCAGGAGCTCCTGGTGTCCCAACCGTGGGCGCAGCTGGGGCCAGCATCGCCCCAGGGCTCACAATGGACCAGACAGGACAAATAAGCTTCAATGCCGCTGACTACCTGAAGTCCAGTTTTTCCAAGACTGACTCCATCACCACGGGCACTGTGTCCTCTGTTAAGTAAGTCTGCTCAAACATCATCATATGAAACTAGAAAGTATTTAGAGAGCACATACCTCCGCCAAGGCTACACAATGCTTTCGAATTAGTTTAATCCGTATTGAATCTGATTCAAAGAACACATAGAGATAGATAATGCAGATTTTTGATAATACTTAAATCCGGTCTAGGAATATGAAGTGTTTCGAAATGGTGAGAAATCTGCGATCCCAAAAATGGGCATGGTCTATATGATTAGATAAGTGATTGACCTGGGAATCAAGAGGAACAGTAATTTCATACATTTCACTTTAGCAGGATTAAGCAAAAGGGTATAATGTTACAAATTGTGACACAGTGATGCGACACCAAAAACGAATAAGTTACTCTTTTGCCAGTTACCAAACTTCCCACTTAATGTATTAGATCAGTCGATTTTTAGATATTCACCGAACAAACAACAACAAAGAAACAGACAAACGGTGCCGAAAACAGAACGTTGGCAGAGTTAATAACAGGTTAATAAATAAATAAAGGGCAAGAGATGACAGCATTGCTTGTCATCCTCTCTCTTACTGCTAAACGTGAGATGTATGCTTATTAACAAATGATATTGTATGACTGCACAATTTAACTGCACCAAAACAATGTATACCTCTTAAAATCTGTTAATAAAAAGTATAACCTATCCATTAAAATTCTAATTTAAAGTTTATTGGCGGATTGAAAAGATCCCAAGTTCCTGTGGAACACCTTGGAGCCAATATGAAGCTCACATACACTTAACTGCTACTGTGAGTCAGTTAGCCTAACGCAAAGGTAATTGCTACCTCCACAGCAGCCAACAGGAATGTAGTGTGAAATAGCGCATAGTGCCCAATAGATCCACGACATGATGAGTTGCGAAGGCACATGAAGTGTTTACTCGCTGTAGCACTCCGTGGAGACGGATTTAGCACAGTCATCGCAAAGTGACTGACTTCTTTCGTTTGGCTAGGGTGTAACAACTCTCCCTTTAATTACTTTGGAGCCATGACTAACCTCCCGGCGAGTCACAGGGGCCGACTCTACACCGCCTGACGAGTGCACTTTAAAGGAAGCAAACGAGGGGTTTGGGGAGCTAGCCTCCAGTCGTGTGCACTACTAGTAGGAAACAGCTCCCAGAGTCTGTTTGATTGGTTTTGACCTTGTCTCTAGTTAGTCAAGACCTATCAAAGACACTGTTCAAGAGCCCTCTGGCACTTCTCCCTCAGGCTTTGGCCTTTGTCAGGTTGGGGCTCAGTGGAGCTGCAAGCTTGGATAACTGACCCAAGTCTAGTGCTTGTATACAGGGAGGAGAGGGGAGAGGGGGGTGGGGGGGTGGGATGCTGGTGAGAATGTCTGGCAGTGCATCCTCCCCTCTGGGCCAGATTAACCTCAGGTCATCCCCCGTGTGTGGCTGCTTCACATGAAGCTAAATGCCATTTCTGAGAGGGAGGAAGCAGAACCAATACTGTAGTATGACTGTCACTGCAGCCAGCTTCATGAAGGGAACCACATCACATGTGACAAACAGCACACGCCGCTGTAATGTGATGAATCCCTCTTGATTTCCTATTTCGATTCGAATCGGATTTGAGTGAAATGTATGCATTTGAAGCTGCAGTGTTGTCCTACGTCATTGTTTGAACTGAGTTCAGACTGATCGGAGACAACTTGGCATCAGCATTAGAGCCGAGGCCCTTAGAGATTACCAGAAAAGACCTTTTCAGAGCTTTCCTTCCACATCCACATTATCCAGTTTTGCATGAGCACTCACCAAAATACCCCCATAAAAGATTAATGTCCCTTTGCTCCTGCATTTTGCCTTTCATTGGGTGGGAGACCATGCATCAAAGTGTGCGCATTCCATCCCTGATTCATACGGCACATGAAAACGCTCTTATGCCACAAGTAAATGTATATTGATAGTCCAAAGTTTGGCAGCAGCTTGTAAGTAAATATTGTGTCAGTTTGTTTTTATTAATAAAACAGGCAGCCCGACCACACCATTAATCCTCTCTCTTTTGTGTTTGCTGTTGCATTAGGAATGGCCTGCCACCAGATAAACCCGCCAGCGATGACATCAACCTCTATCAGAAATATATTGCCAGGTATGCAAATCCCTCAATGTGCTACACCAATGAAAAAATATACCCAAAACTGAGATGAACCTTCTACTTTTTTTTTCTTTTTAATCCACTGATTGTGTGTTTTATTCAGTGATGTAACTAGATCTTAGACTGGTATGAGAATGTTCTGTGTGCAGTAAATTGATTAAGAAAAGACAATTTATGTGCCGAGAGGAAGTAGAAAGATGAGGGGTAATGAAAGTGAATTGGTTTGATGGTAGCTTACTGTAACTGGTTGAGTAAATGCTCACGGTGTGTATAGCACTAAAACATTGAAGAACTACTGTTAGCTGTGACTGACACAGAGAGGATATGAGCTTAGGCCGGGTTCTTCTCGAGTTCTGCTGCTTATTGTTGAACACACGAGGAACTGACTGATCTAAAAGTCTGTCATTCACACCAACAGAGACAAAAACATCAGGGGAGGGGAGGTATCTTGCTTTTCAATGGACACAGAACAATGTCCCCCATTCCGGATTGATTTTGAGCCGACACTAGAAAGGTGATTATCATTTGTTTGTTTATTCCGTTTAAAAAGAAAGAAAAACAGCATTTGAAAAGCCAAAGTGGCTTTGGCGTTAATGATTACTTCTCCAAGCCATAACATGAAGGGCACAAATCAAAGCCTTGGCACTGACAGACACACACACACACATCCTCCTTTACACACACACACACACACACACACACACGCACACACACACACACACACACACACACACACACAAAACCCCTTCCTTGGACTGATTACATTTTGCAAGAAGATTTAATTAAGGAATTTTTAATGAGGCTTCTGCTGGCACTGCCAAGAACTGTTTTGATATTTGCGCTGCATAATGCATAAAATTTGTCTAAACATCTCGGCAGTTGATGCACGGGGAGGCAGCAGATAAGCCCAGATACAGTTTCAATTTCCGTGTTGGGGTTGGGAAAAAAAGAAAAAGCAACGAAGAGGAGGGAAGGAAAAAAAAAATGGAAAAGGAGGGCTAATAAAAAGGGCAAATGTAGCACCGAGAGGGGAGGTAGAGGCGGGGGAGGATCTTCTTTGGAGCTAGGGCTAATGAGAGCACACGAACACTAAAAACCAGCTTTGTAAACGCGTTCGTACCAATCCTTGTGAAAAGAGAGAAAAAAAAAAAAAAAAAGTTCTTCATCTCCTCACCAGTTTGATGTTTTAAAGAGCTTCCCTGGTTGTGTTTAGTTGCAGTTTTCACTCTTTAAATGCTTTCATGCACCCACTATTGCCACGGCACTTTGATCTGTGTAGCTCTATTGTAACTGGAGATGCGCTGCAATCTCTGTATCGTGGCGATATTAATATTTAATCTGCTGCTGAATAGCGGCGGCCCATTAGGCCCCCTCACGCGGCAAGTGGGAATTGTCCAGAGGCAAAGTGATACAGCTGGGCAATGAGCAGAAGGGTGGGCCATAGTCTCAGGGAGGGGGCGGGGGCTTTGTGTGTTCATGAGTGTAAATGTGTGTGTTGGTGTGTGGATGTATGTGAAAGAAGAGTATAGAAATCACTAATGGTTGGGGGGACATATGTTGGCTTTAATGTGTGTTCACACGTAATTTGACTTCTGGTTTGGTCTTTTCTAAAAGAGCCATCAAACCTTCCTGAAGTACCCCTCTAACTCCGTCACCATTTCACAGACACAAACACACACACACACACACACACCCTTCACAGCCAACTTAAAAAGAGTAGTGGATATGCCGTTCAATTAGCTTAATGAACTCAGCAAAGTGATCTGTAAATGCAGCTCTGGGATAATCCTAACAAGGGAAAAAACAGAAAGAGAGATGGAAAAAATATTACTTAGCTCCCTTTTCCCCCTCTCCTCTGCTAGCAGATGGAGCTCTTGGCAGCAGCAGTGCAAATGTTTATTTGTGTGTTTTCACTGGTAATTGGAGGATTTTAACAGTCATCGTCGTCAGACTTATAATCACCACCGTAAAAGTGTCTATCCTGTAGAAAGCGGTGCCAGACTAAAATCATTTTTATTTCTGGACTCCAGAGGAGAGAGCGAGAGGGTTTGGGGTGAAAAGTAGACGGAGCCGTTCCTCGATCTCAGGATACCTGACCCCCCTTTCCTCGATAAAACTGTGGTTAACCTGAAAGAACTGTGCATTGATTTGACAAGGGGTTTTCACAGTGCTGAGAAATAAAGTAGTCATGGGCTCCTTGAGTGGGTGTGTGTATGCGTGTCGGGGGAAAGGGTTTCAGTGTAATAAGTGTCTCTTACGGCTGCTTTGGAAATAAATGGAGCTAATTTGGCTGAAATTGGTGTGACAGACGGGTAAATTGTTGCAGCAGTGTGGAAAGCAGAAGTCAGTTTGAGGGTGTGAGCGGTGTTACATTGAAGGTGAGACGAGCGTAATGCTTTTGAGAACTCCTTTGTCTGTTTTTTTTTGTGCTCTTCCTGGTATTTCAAATAATTTCTTCACTAATCATTCTTGATACGCTGCTGATTATTTTCAAATCACACTGACGTATTTCAAAATACAGACTCGTTGACATGTGCAACTTGGTTTTCAGGTTCTCCGGAAGTCAGCACTGTGGACACGTGCACTGTGCCTACCAGTACAGAGAGCATTACCACTGCATGGACCCTGAGTGTAACTACCAGGTGAGCGTGAGTACTTTACAACTTTTTTTTGTGCATCCCTCAAATACACATCTTTCTCCCGTATGCTGCAAATGTTAGTTTAGAGTCTCACACAATGAGAAAAGTGAGACGAAAGGTAAAAGTGCCACTCTCAAATAGTGAGGGATGACGTTGCAAGGTTTAGGGTCGGTGAATTGAAGCTAAGAATCTTCTCTTTATTCAGGACATGACAAAAGGGGATGGGTTGATTCTAGGACAGACAAACAGGATAATGTGGCATCTTTTCATTAGTGAGGTCACACCCAGCCAAAGTCTACGCAGATGACAAGTTTGCTGGCCTTTAATCTGCCGAACAGGCCGTGAGTGTATACACCCGCTAGGTATGCAGGCATCTTCTAGGCACAGTTGGTCTTTGACAGTTGGCCTTTTATCGCAAGGGTTATTGTAAATATGCTTGAAACGTGCCTCTTTTTTTTTTTTATCTATGTGTTCTTTTTTCTAAAGACATCTGCCACTGACTGTCTTTAATCCCCTCCCACGTTATTAATCTCGTCCCGGGTCCCAGGAGTTGTCATGTACGGCACAGGAAGGAGAAAAAAAACACAAAGCAGATCATAATTCAGGCCGTGTGTTTGCTGTAGCATATGGCCGGAGAGTGTTAGGCAAACACAGGAAGATTTGTCAAAGATGTCTAAAAATCCATGCACAGCTAGAGCTGTGTGTGTGTTTTCCTTTCCTGACAATTTTTCGGAATTAAGCCATCTTCATCTGTAATCTCCTTTGTCTGCTCCTGATCAAGAGAGATTACCGCTCGATAAATATTGTTTATGTGGTGAAAAGCATGACAGATCTAAGCTTTCATTTTCTGCATGAATCCCACTTCACAGTCTGATGGGACACATTCTTGGAGGAATACAAAGGAAAAATCATTTCATGTCATTATTTGGAGCGTTAGTTCAGGTTATCACGGCAATTTCCACGGTCAGGTCCACATTTCTCTGTTGCTTGTGCGTTGCGTGGAAACACAGATATGCTTTGCAAGCCAGTTCTCTGGGATGTCAATACCCTTGGAAAAAAAAAAAAAAAAAAGAAGCAGTGACGAGCAGCCCCTTTCGAAGCGATAACTCATGAAATGTTACATGACACACACTCCAGGAATATTATCCCACTACCAGCCTGTGGGCTATTGGCTGAGTCTTAACATTCTCCTTTCATGGGCTTGTACATGAGGGAGAGTGTGCATCTTGCCACACTAGTGGGAATCCTAAAATAAATGTAGCAAGTGGCTCCCAACCTTCATCGCCACTCAACTGAAAATGAGATCTTTTTCCCAGTCAGCTCTCTCCATGGCCTATTTTGGACGGCTTGATGGATCGAATGCACCATGACCGCAGCTCAACTTATCTTCCGGTCGTCGTTAACCATTAGATACCAGTGAGCCTGTGCTCGGGATCTTTCAGGAAAATTTGTTCAAAAAGTGACGAATCCACCGCATTTCATTAATTAGATTAAAAATCCTAATGAAGTGTCTGCTCCTACTGGAGTCAAACATCTCAGAACTATGCAGTGGGAAACAGGCCAAGAGCAAGAGAATGAACAGCTGTGTGAGATCTTAGCTTTTTACTTTTGCGGAGTGAAGCACATGACACAAAGCAATTACCCTACTTTGTACAGCAATTGGTTGCTTTTTAGAATAGTTCTTTCTGATGTTTTCTCCCTCAACTGGAGATAAATATGGATTGAAGGCAGAACTGTCTCATTGATTTGCACTTCTCCTGTTACAGTTTCTGTTACATCAGCTTAAGCCCAATTACAGCAGATTTGGTTGCTGCAAGTCTCTGTGGAGAGACTTTTCTGTTTTTTTCCCTTCCTGACTCCTAGGTGTGGGAGGGATTTTTTTATTTATTAATTTTGTAATTTTAGAAGGCGGGTCTCTTAACATATTCACTCATCGTTACAGGCGAAGCCGGCACCAAAAGCGAGCGCTAAAGCTTTAATTAAAAATGGAATCATATCTCAGCGAATTGAAGGGGAAAACGTTTTTGGTTCACTTGTTTGTTTGTTTGTTTGTTTCTGTTGTCTTCGGTTTTCCCCTGTGCATGTCTGAGAAACCATCTGCATGGAACATAATTTTTCCAGAGACAGAAACATCAGAACTGTGATCTTGCATGTCAATTGATTCATCTTAATTAAAAAAAAATATATATATATATATATATTTCAGTGGAAGGGAACAAATCACGTAGAGACAGTTGGGGTATGGGGAACACACTTCATGTTCCATGTGGAAGCTTCTCCTGCGCTCAAAAAAGTCCCAGAGCCTTTGGTGCTGCATTTGGATAGGACACAACTTTGAGATATGCAAAGTAAATCAATAACCACAGAACGCATCATCTTTAAAGACATCCTGGCCCTCTCCATTGCAGTCGGCACAGCCCTCCACAACTGCCAATTGGCTCCTGCTTGCTGCAGCTGCTGCTTCCACAGAGATAAAGTGACTTGTTGCTGATTCTATGACTGGTTTAAATAAACACCAACCTGTTGCCGCACATTTTCCCTCTCCCCTTTTGCAGAGGTTTACCAGTAAGCAGGATGTAATCAGGCACTACAACATGCACAAGAAGAGGGACAACTCTCTGCAGCATGGCTTCATGCGCTTCAGCCCTCTGGACGACTGCAGTGTCTACTACCATGGCTGCCACCTCAATGGAAAAAGCACCCATTACCACTGCATGCAGGTACACTACAAACTACAAAGACTCACAGCTACTCCTCCACCTACGCACATACCCACAACAAACCCACAAATACGTGCAGTAGGCACGAATGCACACAAACACGGAAACGGAAGACAATATCTGCAAATATGGCCACACATACTGAGGCATTACATACAGTACAAATAACCCACAACTCATCTATGCATATAAAAAAATGTGAAATATAATTCATCAATAAGTTTACATTCCAGAGCCAGACCATAAAGGTGGTTGTCAGTAAACCATAGTCCATGTACAGCCTAAAAGCCTGGTTCTGTACCCATTAAGAGCCTTAAAAACAACCGTTTTCAGCCATGACATTGTTTCAGGACGGTTTTAAAACAGCACAAGAGCTTCACGATACAGACGACGCCTGCGTCTGGGAAGTCAGGCGGCTCGTAACACGACTACCGGATGTTTGAGAGTCACACAGCTTACCTACATCTGTGAAATGGAATTACAGTTCCACGCTTTTTCCATTTACACCAAAGTGTCTTCAAAGAGCAGTGTCCTAAACGTGTCCTAAAGTAAACAATAGAAAATAATAAAATAAATAAAAAAAGGGAGAACACACGTGAGGCTTCTTGTGCTTTCCCCACCTCTTCGCTCTCTCGCTCCTTAATTGGCATGGATAAAATTCAGTAAGGTGTTTATATAAACTACACATTTTTCATCTTTTAGTACCAAGCAAGCCAGTTGAAGATTATTCCCCCTTCTGGATTTGTTTAAGTTTTTTCACATCTGCTTATTTTCAATGTGTCACTGTGCCGAGAGCTTTCTCGCCGACAGGGCAGCAGCGCAGTGGAGGACGGCTTGAGATACATTCTCTTTTAAACCCCTCTAACGGCGTAATTGTTATTAGGACGTTTCAGCCCTTGTTTTAACAGTCCCTGAGAACCTGCAGATGTTGGCATCGCCTCTCTTGATTTACCGGGGGAAAAGAAACAGAGTGGCATTTTTTTCATTGTTTGACTCAATATGGAGAAGTTGCCCGGTTTGTGTGCGGGTGAAAGGTGCCAGGGATGATATACAATTGCTGCTTTTAATTCAAACATTACCTGTTTCCCCCCCCGACTCTGTTGGCTCTGAGGGCTCCTGAGTACCAGGACATTTTAAACTAAAGACCAAGACAGTCATCTACTCCCATCTGCTTTCCTCTGCCCCCTCCACCTCTCAAATTTGTTCTCAGAATTACAGTAAGTTCGTGGTGACTGCATTGTCACACACTAAAAGGCAGCTTTGCCAGGAAGGTACTGTAGTTTCAGCTACCCGCTGTGACCACTGCCTCTTTCAGTCCCTTTTTTCTTTGTTCCAATTGTCACAATGACAAGATCGTTTCCAATTCACGGGTTTGAATTGAAACTTGTGAACATGAGAAAACAACCTGCTTCCACACATTTCTAGGCCACTTGCATTTTCTTAACCACACCGAGCTCCTTTCTCGATAGCGCGTACAGTATTATCAGATCTCTTTAAAGCACTGCCTTTTAGTAGCTGGCTCTTTTAAAACCATTCTTGCAAACTGAAACTTTCATGCCCGCTTTGGGCCAAGATCTTGTTTTCGATTGTCATGCTCTTCTTTGCTTTTGCAGGTGGGCTGCAGCAAGGTGTACACCAGCACCTCTGACGTCATGACCCATGAAAACTTCCATAAAAAGAATGCCCAGCTGATCAACGATGGCTTCCAGAGATTTCGTGCCACTGAGGACTGTGGCACAGTAGGCTGTCAATTCTACGGGCAGAAGACCACACACTTCCACTGCAGGTGAATATTGCAGGCCTAATGTGGTGGATGTTTTTTTTACATCTATAAAAATACATGCATTCAAAAGTAACACATATAAGTAACACAACACAAATATATATATATATATATATATATATATAGCAATTTAAACAAATCCAAAAGCCAACAGCAGAAAAAAACAAATCTAGGCACATTCCTTGTTAAATAATAGGCAGCACACAAGTGCAGTCACGACGAATGGCTCCCCTGTTTCTTGTCCTGCACCGTGAGGTTCTTTGAACATCATTGAATCACAGTTAGAAGGAGAAAAAAAAACATCAAGCTTTTAGTTTGAAGCACATGCGCCACAACACTATTATCAGTGGACATAGAATCACTCGGTTGATTCATCAAACTCTCTCCCTGGAATGTATGCCTCCGGAAACGGTTGCAGGTGGCAACATGTCAATGGGCTGCTGCTGTGTTACCGAACAGCCTCAGTTGTCATTCCTCCATTGTTAAGTATTTGAATCATGTGGCCCCTATCTGTGACTCCCATCTGCACCAAGGTACTGAGGAGGCTATGTAGCTGAGCATCATATGGAATCATGTTTTCCCTTTTGTTTTCCATTCTCCTTTCAGGCGCCCAGGATGCACATTCACCTTCAAGAACAAGTGTGACATCGAGAAGCACAAGAGCTACCACATCAAGGACGATGCCTATGCCAAAGATGGCTTCAAGAAGTTCTACAAGTATGAGGAGTGCAAGTACGAGGGCTGCGTCTACAGCAAAGCCACCAACCACTTCCATTGCATCCGATCGGGCTGCGGCTTCACCTTTACCTCCACTAGCCAGATGACCTCTCACAAGCGCAAACACGAGCGCCGGCACATCCGCTCCTCCGGTGTCGTGGGCCTCTCCTCCGCCTACCTGACGGCAAAGGATGAGCCGGAGGAGTCGAGCAACGACGACCTGATGGACTTCTCGACCATCAGCAGCAAGAACTCCAGCCTGAGTGCCTCGCCCACCACCCAGCAGTCCACCTCTGTATCGCACCTGTTGGCCACGCCCACCACCGCTGTCTCCTCCTCCTCTACATTGAGCCATGCCCTCAAACTCACATCCTCGATGACCAGTGCAGGCCAGCGTATGTCCAGCCTGCTGTCCCAGGCCCTGCCCAGCAACATGCCGGTGGCCCTCGCTCTTTCCAACAGTGCCATGGGCGGCTCCCACCCATTTTTCCCCCTCATCCCGAGGATGCCTCTCCAACCACCTCCGCCGGCCGCTAGCCTGATATCGGCTGTATCTTCTGGGGCTCACTCCATGCCCACCGACTCACTGACCCAAGGTTGCTCCACAGTGGGTGCAGACGGAGCCATGGCCTCTACCCCAACATCCTACGCCACCTCCTCCATCATGGAGAAGATCTCGGCAAGCAAAGGGCTGATATCACCCATGATGGCCAGACTGGCAGCTGCTGCCCTGAGGCCCTCCAACAACCTCCACCTAGGTCAGTCACTCCACAAAAAGTCATCATTTTTGTGATCATGGTGTCATCATTGTGTGTCATTTTTGTGGATACTCGCCAATGGATGATAGAAGTTTGAACTCTAATAAAATCTCCAACAATGTTGATAATAATTGTTTGGATCGTATATTTAGCAAAAATATTAGTTTGGTCCAGCTTAACAAATATTTAGATTTTCTGCTTTACAATATTGTAAATGTGGACTTGTGGACAAAACGAGTGATTTGAAGACCATTGTCAATAATTGATTCATCTAAAAATAACTTGACAGATTAATACAGCCCTGTTAATATTTCCTTTCCCTGACATTGTAACTAGACCAGCTTAACACACTTGCAAATTATAAAACCATGAATAAATTGGTAGTCAGTTGTAAAGGTTAACTTTGCTTGTTACTCTATTTATAGACAAGGTTATTGAAATATATGACAAACAATAACCTTTTGAGCTATGTCAGTGTTCAAAGATAATAAACTCCATGTAGACTAAAAGCCACATCTTTTTTTCCCGTGTGTGGACTTCTCTCCGCTCCAGCCAGAGCTCACAGAGTGCACTCAGAGGTCACTTCTATCACTATACCGCAGTAGAGAGAAAGGCGGAAAAACTGCCGCTTTCAGGCGTAAAGGGGCATACTGGAGGCATAGTCCTCTGCTCTGGGCTTGTTATTGTGTTGATCGTTTGTTAGATACCCACAATCCATTTGGAGATAAATGCGCTGACAGGGGAGAGTAGAGCCTGTAAAAGTCTCTTATGATGTTCAGAGTGGGGGCTCCTGGGGCTTGTGTCGAACATGTTTCCTCCTCATTGGTCTCTTATCTATGTCTGCGCCCGTTCCAAGCAAATGGAGGTGGAATGAAATTAAGATCAGAAATTGCAAGAACAAAAAAAAAAAAAAAGATGTTGGGTTTTTTCTTTTTTTTTTCTTATCCTCCATGCAAACCGATAAAAAAACTGAAATCGTTCAGGCAGAAATGACTCAATGCACCAGAGCTGAGAAAGGGGCTTTTTTTCCACTGTCACAAGAACTCAGACACACTTGCATGCATCAGCAAAGAAACACATTTTGAATTTCTAGAAACCTTCTGTTCCCACAAAAACATGTCAATACCTGTTTAGCATAAACACAATTCAAATACATTTTGGAGGTAATTGCCTTGTCTATGTTTATCATATTGCTCTAAACAAAGCTTCTGAAAAGGAAAATGAAGTTAAAGCATTAAATTGATAATTGATAACTGCAGAGCGCAATCTCGCAATCCGGTAGCAGTGGGGCCTCCGGTGCTGAGCCTGAGCAGGTGGGGGGGTGCGGATTGTGAATCGGGGCTGCAAAGGGGGGGCGTCTCCGGATGTTGCAGACTGGGAAGGATTACAATTCCTGGTGGTGTTCCTGGAGCAGGACAGGCCCTGTGAGAGAGATAGGGCAGCTGCTCCGGGGAGCCGGGCTGAGCCCGGGCTGTCAGGCGGAGCTCCACCTCTGGGCTTCCAGCAGGTAGTCTGAACACTGGGAAGGCCCCCACTGAGGGTGGGGCTTCCACAGATGGTGCCTTCACCACCCCTCTCGTTGTCTCACCGAGAGGCTGCGTGTCAGATCTCTATGCTTGATAACGAAGCTGTAATCTCACATACTTTATGGTAAAAGTTAAGCGCATAGATACAGGATGGAGGATTGGCTTCGGTTTTGTTTCTCATATTTGCTTCATAAAATGTGTGAACAGGACATTTAGGGCTAAAATGAGGAGGAAGTGGTTTTTACTTCTCTGTCAAAAAGGTGTGAGAAAAGTCACAGTGTTTGTGGCCATTGTGTATGTTTCCCTGTTTCTGCTTTCAGTATTTTCTCAGTATTTTTTCTGTATTAATGTTCCGCTCTAATTTACCCCTAAGTGTTTTTCCCAGAGATTCAAGCATCTGAAGGGTTTACTAATTAGACACACAGTACAAATGATCTTTCACAAGCTCTGTATCTTATCCGGAGTAATTACATGGTGGTACATAATTCCTGGATAATTTCCAGAAAGAAGCTGCTTCGAGTCATACTCATTTGTTCTCCCTCTTTGGGAAAGTGAATAGAAAAAAAATGACTTCACGATGTGCAGCAGAAGAAGAGACTTTTGCATTGTAATCCACCTCAAAAAGCAAATGCATCCTTTGATATAGTAAAGGAATGCTTTAATCTGCCTGATGATCTAGTAAAGATCATATAGTGAGAGGCTGCTCTTGATGTAATGTGCTCTCATTTGGTCTGAGAGTTAATTTGATTGTCAATGACAAGGCAGGATCTGTCTGGCTGGTTCATTTTGGGTGTACTCCTTTCAAGTTGGGGCTCAGGAAGGAGCGCTGGACATGGACTTGGTGACCAATCAGTGACCTCAAACCGCCGATTTCCTTTAGCTCCTCCCCAACTCCACCTCCAGCCCCTCCAACCTCAGCCATTGTCAAACAGAACTGATACTGACACTTCCCCATCTCCCAGCTTTCAGCTGACAAGGCCCAAGACTGGCTTTTCTACTCCTATTCTGCCTGATATGTCTCTGGGTCATCTCGTGGCAGGGGGGGTCTCTGGTCGGCTTCCCCCTTACGTAGGCTCGTCTTGTTTCCTGCCCAGCGAGAGAAAGGAGAGGAGCCTCACCAGGCTGAGGGCCAAGGGCACACACTTGGTTGCCCATGACCTTGCCTGTCACTATCCCTCAGCACCAGCCCTGACTCCTAAACAACAGATTCCTCACCAAACCAATCACGCCCGCTGGTGCTCCTCAGTCTTAAAGTGTCTGAGAGGCTACACCAGAGTCACCCCCCCCCCCTCCCGCACACTTTTTTTTTTAAAATAAACCACCACTTATTGTCTACCAAAAAGCCCAGCTTTCTCTGTGTAGCCCCGGGACAAATTAATATTTCAATCCCTTGGGGATCGGGGGTGGGGGGGTGGGGCAGAATTCACCTTCCCGTCAGCATTTCTACCCTGTGTCGTCCCCTGGTCTTTATTTATTTCATTTCAGCACTCCTGTCCCCGCTCACAGCATCCACTGAATACCTATTTGGAGGAGAATTTGATCAAGAGGTCATGCTATTTGAACCAATCTGATTGGCTGTCAGCTCCAATCTGACCGACATGGCACCCCTGTTCCTTGTGGGTACGCTCAGTGGCATTGGCTGCTGCCCGTTGTCAGGCCAACAAGCAGCCTGGGAAGGTGGGAAGGGGGGGGAGGGGGGTCGGCCAATCTGAGACTGCCACTTTCCCTCAGCATTAGCATCTCACTTAATGACCAGTTAAGAGGCAGCCTGGCAAATGAGTTGTGACAAGTGCTGCAGAAAAAGGAGTATTTTTCCCTCATATCTCCCGCCTCTCAATCACCATTTAAAAGGCTTGACGGCCTGACATAATTTCGCAATAATTATCACTCGGAGTATTCTTTTCGGGCCAGGACAGGAGTCAGATTGGATCTCATCACAGGGTAATAATGCTGACCAACAATAACTTTGTTGTCACTTCTCTCATCTGCGTCTCCGTCTTGATCCTCAGGGAACGGGCAGCCGGCTTCAGCAAGCCACTTCAATCTGGTTCAAGTGAAGCAGGAGCCGATGGACGTCAACTCCGGGGCCACCCAAGACTCCACGCAGGAGCACAGCCTGGACCTGAGCAAGAAAGACCACAGGTACACGGCTGCCTGGTACATAAAGGGTTAATAATGCTATATGACAAATGTCTATTCACCTAATATACTACGGAAATAAATAAACAAGGAACAAAGGTTTCTACAGTCTCGGCAGCCAGGGTTATGTTCGCAATTATTTGTCAAAAATATCTTGTTTATACATGTGCATACATTTATAAAACCATCAACATATTTCTCAATGTTTTTGTGTGAGAAGGATGTTTGTATAAACCGTCAACTCCAATCTTCCCTTCAACTCACACTATATCTTATTTTATAAGAAGACAGCATTTTTCTTCTTCATTATACAGGCACACCTCGTGTGATAAATAGTAATATTTACTGTTCTCATGCAAATCTTGACTAAACATTGTTCATTTTCCTTGTTCCAGTAATGAATCAAACGGACACCCTGTACCAGGGAATACATCTCTTTTATCCTCGCTTATGAATAAGGTAAGATCCATCCATCAAACGCCTTTCATCCCAAGACAAATTAGCGGGACGCGCAGGGGCCTGTTTTTTTTTTTTTTTTTTAATGTTTCACCGCTAATAAGATGAGTTTGTATCATTTAAATTTTCCAGCCATTTTTCATACAGTGTAATTTTCACTGCACCTCTCACAAATTAATATAATGAAGCAGTAGCTGGGTGCCACGCCAGATATATAGAGATGTTTGTTTTTTGAGGAGCTGTTTTGAACCCGCCGTCCATTTTTTCTCCTCCTTCATACTTCATACTCCTCCTTCATACCCCCTCCCCCCCCCGCCTCGCTCTACATTTATTTATAGACTTTGTAAATTATTAGATTAAAAAGTCAGGGGAGAAAAAAACAACAAGAAGGCGCTGCCCTCATTTTTTACCAGGTCTAAATGTTAGCGTATGGAAATTTAAAGGTGTATTTTTTTTGGGGGGTGAAGATTAAAATGGACATCGTCTTAATCATACATCTCATCTGATTTATACATATTTATATGATTTTCCATCATATTGATGATGTAATAAGGGATCAGTCTTTTTTCTCTTTTTTTTTTTTACCCTTGCCAACTGGTAAATACCCCCTCCCTCCCCTCCACACACGACACACGCGTTGCCTAGTTGCTCTCCTTAAAGCAGCCATTAAACCCAGACAGTGGAGGGGCTTGAAGACCTGTTGTCCAACAGCTCCTCGTGTCATGGCAGCTTTCGGAGGGGGTGGGGGGAGGGGTTGATCCGAGCCACCGCAGCACATAAAAGGGTTAACAGTTGCTCCCAGAGGACACTTGGCAAACACGTTTGGCCTGCACTCAAGCAAAACCTTGGATGTTTGTAAATCTGGCTGTGCTTTTTTTTTTTTTTTTTTTGCTTCGCCAAAACCATTTGTATGTGTAAACTCTCACACTCTCACTAACATATGCAAGTGCCCGGCTTCCCGTATGTTCTGCTAACCCAGCAGCGGGTTGTTTTTGTGCTCTGTAGATGTCACAGGTGAACCCTGCCCTGTTCAACGCCATGCACCTGAAGACAGAGCTGGAGGCCAGCCAGGGAGGCAACAGCTCGGAGGCAGCACAGTATCTGAACAGAGTGCTGAAGAGGCCGCTGCCAGAAAAATCCGCCGAGATCTGGAGGACATACCTCCGCAGGTATAATACATGGTGGAAGTACAAAGAGTCGCTGGAGTTAGACTTGACTCATTTGTTTTGAAAGCGAGAATACAGTCAGAGTGTTTAAAAGTACCCTGCATAGAAGGACCTTTTTCTGTAAATACAATTCCTCACATACTGCATCACTGAAAATCCCCTGAAATACAAAGAATCTGGTCTTGCAGGAATTTGTAATGACTTGCAGCACAAAGGACATTTACCGTCAGATCACGAGTCGAACCAGCTGTTTGTCGATGTTCTGGGAAGGCGGAAAAAAAAACTGACAGTCTTCATTATCTGTCTGTGTTAAAGGTTTGACACAGACGACTTCTGTGAGGCTCAGTGTGACTTCCTACAGAAAGTGCACTTTCACTGCATGGTGGAGGATTGCGGTGCACTCTTCAGCACTGTGGATGGGGCCATAAAACATGCTAAGTGAGTGTTTCCGCTGCTTCATAATCTGAAAATACTCCCTTTCCACATTTTGGCGTTCGGCTTTATTGATCAACATAAAAAAATGAGCTTCCATCTTGTTTCTCAGCTTCCACCTCCGCGCCACCTTGAACGTGAAGTCAGAGCCTCAGTTTGGTGAGGGCAAGGACTCCGGTGAGGGGGCCTCGCTGCAGCCCGCTGCCCCCGTCTCTATGGCCAACAACCCCTCCATGGATGTGGCACACCTCACCTCCTCTGGTGGCTACAGCTCCCCGCCTCCCGCCCTGCTGGCCTGGAAACAGCTGACTGGCAGCATCCCTCAGATGCCGGCCTCGATGCCCAACCTGCCGGCCAACTCCCTTCTGGCCACCACCTCTCTGGAGAATTCTAAACCCCAAGTCAAACCTGGTTTCCTGCAGTTTCCAGAAAAGTAGGAGAAACATTTAGCTTCTTGCTGTTACATTAACAGTACAGTGTGTTTATTCGACCATAAACTGCATTTTCCGGTTTTTTTTTATTCATCCAGTGATCCCTGTTTGGCTACTGACTGCAAGTACAGCAACAAGTTCCACTTCCACTGCTTGTTTGGGAATTGCAAGTATGTGTGCAAGACAACTGGCAAGGCCGAGTCCCACTGTTTGGACCACATCAACCCCAACAACAACCTGATCAACGTCCGCGACCAGTTTTCCTACTTCTCTCTCCAGTGTCTCTGTCCCAACCAGGTGAGTGAGGTTTGATAAGTGAGCCAGGAGCTGAATCACCTACTGTCATCTCCCGGAGGTTTCTAAGCATGAAGTATGCTATCTATTAGACCGGTATTTGAGGTTATTTGACTCAAGGCTTTCACAACCGCCGCTCCCCGTCTTCCATCTCTGCTGAAAAAGACAGTCGACTCACCCCAGTAATGCCTGTTTATATGTCAATGATGTCATTTTGACTGCCGCATTCTCCTCTCAGAAAAGGCCAATTTAGCTGATATTACCCAATAAATCATTGTCACTTGCACAGTAAACAAGGCTGTCTGGAATAGGGCAAAAATCAGGGGAATGCTTCGCAAATGAAACCTAAATGGCAGCCCCTGCCTGCTCTCATGAGCCCGTATTTGGAAAACCATTTAAATGAATTCATTAATGTGTCGAAAATCACCCCTCTCGCAAAAATCCCCCCCTCCCTAACCCTCCCCCTCCTCATCCTCCTCCTCCCTCCTCCGCCCCTTAGTCTGCATCTCCTGAACTGAGCTGATCATATTTGGACCAGTCCTTTGGGATCTGGGCCTCACAAACAGATGGTGGTGTACAGAGATGTTCAAAAGGAGGGGTGTTTGTGGGAAGAAAAAAAATAAAGCCATCGTGCTTAGAAATGTGGGATGTTCCAAATGAGCAGAAATAAAAAAAAAAATAAAAAATAATTTTAAAAAAAGGGCTGTGAAGAGTTTGTTTATGTTTTTGGAGAAGCTGTGCGTAGTGTTGACTTTAACTTGGCACACAAAGAAAGATCAAGTCAAGCTTTCAAACATATTTGACTCATGAAATTGGAAACTGTGTTTCATCTGCAGCACTGCGAGTTCAGAATGAGGGGCCACTATCACTGTCTGCGGACCGGCTGCAGCTTTGTCACTAACATCACCACCAAGCTGCCATGGCACGTGAAGAAGCACGAAAAGGCAGAACGCCGCGCCGCCAATGGCTTCAAATATTTCACCAAGAGGGAGGAGTGTGGGAGGCTGGGTAAGAAAAAAACACATCTGATATGATTTTAAGTTTAGTAGAAGTTTTGGCCTGCCGTCACTTTTTCTCACACTCCAGCTTTTATTAATATTCTACCTGGAGCACCGTGTGGATTAAAAGTTTTAAATTGAGAAAGACGTAGATGGATTTTTGGTGGCAGGAGGATATATTACCTGCGTTTACAAAAGGGAGAGAGACCAGTGTCGGCAAACACAGTGTCATGCTATGCGAGTTGATAAAGAGGCACGAAAGAAGTCCGCCTCACGAGTTTTGTTGCCGTTTTGCATATCCACAACGGCACATCATGTCCCAAAGGTAGTCTCACCTTTACTATGTGAGCAATACCGTTGACGGGGGGGGGGGGGGGGGGGGGGACAACCCCGGCAGTTATATTTTTTCTTTTTTCGGTGACTTAAGAAAATTCTT